GTTAGAGGTGATTAGGCAGGCAGGCAGGTGAGAAGTAAGGAGCCAATGGTACTGGATTGCAAGAGGGATGTCCAACTGTCAGTTTAGTCCCAATCCCTGTGATTAGGCCTAAACTGGCAATCGGACATCCCCCAAAGGGTCCCAGATTGGAGAGCGTACATTCCAGGCTGAAGGACATCCCTCCCCGTGCATGAATTTCATGCACTGGGCCACTAGTTTACTATAAATCAGTAGAAATTGTAAAACCCCAGGGTCATGCTAGACTGTGCCCTCAGCACCAATCCCCAAACCCCCTTCAACCAGTTGATCACCAAGTTTTATCATTTTTACCTCTTAAACATTTCTCAAGTCCATTTTTCTTTTTCCAGTCTCACTGTCATCATTTTCTTCCATTGTTTCATTTCAAAAATGTTTCCTGAATTCCTGAAATGTGATAAGCACCATGCTACACACCGAAGGATCAACCCTGAATAGCACTCAGTCTTTTTCAGGAGAGCGAGCAGAAAATTACAAAGCAACATGATAAATTCTGTTCTAAATGCATGCTCTACAAGGGGCATCAAACCAGCCTGGGAGTGAGGACTGGGAGGAGGGGATCAAGGAAGACTTTCTGGAAAAGGGGACACCTACGTTGAGTCTTAGAGGCTAAATTACCTCAAACTTGGCCTCCTCAGAGCAGTGTGTCTTGATCTCCCTGCCCACTGCACTTCCTATATATCCCCATTATTGCCTGCATTTCATAATGTGATTATCTCCCTATTTACCTTCCCAAGTCCTAAACTGCTTTAGAGAAACTATGAGTTTTATTTTTATTACATCAGCCATGACCATCAGATTGTAAGTATTCAGTAACTGTTTATAGAATTGTGTTTTGTTTTTGCTTCAGATTTTCAGAGTTTTGTGGTAAATAATAAAACAGAGTTCCTTTCTATTCACAAGCCTATCCTTTTCCCCCAAAGTAACCACTATTCTGACTTTTATAAAAATCACCAGAGGAACATTGTATTTTGGTTTGAGACTAAGAGGTAAAAAGCAATCAATAGAATTGATTGGTTTTCATTTTAGTTGATAACTCACAGTCTTATAAGAATAAACCATATGCGAATTGTATGATTCACAGCGCAGTTCTTCATCTGCATTCTGCTACTCCTGTTCAGCCTGACTGAGCTTTCACTTTTTGTTCCTACTAATACATGTTCATCTGGCCACTCCAGCAGCCTTGCTAACAGGAAAGACAGTGACTCCTATAGCGTCCCTCCCTGGGGAGCTGAATTGACCACACTACCTGGGAAGAGACTACTCTCTACAGGGGGCTGATGAAGGGAGGCGGAGGACTGTTCTGCCATCCCGCCAGCCTCTGTCGAGAGCCACCGTCATCACACCATGGAATGACTGACTGGGTGAGCATGCTTCTGTACCTCCATCTCTGGAAACAATGACAGAGGCTCTGAAACCAGTTTGAAACCTAGACATCGTGGCTTGCCTTTTTCTAAACTGGTATCTGTGGGTAGGTTAAAGTTACCAAGTTTTAATTTCCAACTATTTCTCTGTTGGACCAGAATGAGACAGTGGAAATTCATTACAATGCAGCGTTTCCCAATGTAAGAGATACATTCCACCTGGGGTTTGTATCTACACGGTACACAAATGAACGTGTTTCAGTTAACAATGAATTTGTTTAAGTTTAGTAACATGTTTTAAGAATTGTATAGTTATTTACAGTTACGTTTTACTTGGGACAAGTTTCAGAAAATGTGTTGATTTGAATTCTTGTTATGCAAATAATGATATAGGTGCTCGTAAAGGACTCAAGGTGGGAAGCACTATTATTTTACATTCCTCAAGGTGAAATTATAGCAACAGAGAATGCCAAAAGCTGGAGGAAACTTGGAGGCTATCCAATTCAATTTACTATATTTTATTTACTTATTCATTCAACAAATATTTATTGGACACTTACTAATTATAAGGGTTGTGGCAGAACTGCAGTGAATCAGAGAGGGACGATCTAGTGAGAGAAACAGACATTAACTATATACCCAGTAAAGTAATGATAATTATGATAGGTTCTGTGAAGAAATAAAACATGTATGAAGCTATTAATAGCAGGATGTTTCAATGAAATCTTAACGGAGTAGGAAAATTTAGCCAGACAAAGCAGGGCTTGGGGATGGAGTTAGAGGCAGGTGGTGGGAAAAGAGAAGAGTGTGTGAGATCCTGAGAGGACCGAGCAGCTGGAATACAGAAGACCATCTTTCCACAGTGTACAGGCATCTGTGTAGATCACCTGTGGTAGTTAATTCAATCAGGACCAGCCCAGAGGTAAAGTAACTTGACATTGGCCACACATTCTAAGAGCAGCAGAGCCAAGACCTCCATCCATTCTTCTTTTTTCAATATTTTTTATTGACTTCAAAGAGGAAGGAGAAGGGAGGGAGAGATAGAAACATCAATGATGAGAGAGAATCATTGATTGACTGCTTCCTGCATTCCCTACACTGGGGAATCGGGCCTGCAACTTGGGCATGCACCCTGACCGGGAATCAAACCATGAACTCCTGGTTTGCAGGTGGACACTCAACCACTGAGCCATGCCAGCTGGGCTCAGTCCATTATTTTATAGGTTCATACACTCACCACATACTTACAGAATGCCCTATGTACAGGTCCTGTTCTGTGTGTGCTGAGGACCCTACTGGAAACAAAACAGACAGAAGTCCTGCCACACAAAGCCTATATTCTGTGTGGTGGAGACAGTCAATAAACAAACAAGTCAATGTAGGCATGCCAGTGGGAGAGAAGTGGTTTAGAGAAAAGTGGTGAGGGATGATGAGTTGAGAGGGGAATCCATATTTTGTATGAGTTACCCTCTGATGATGTAGGCAAAGACCTCAAGGAAGTTGGGACAGGCCAGGTCCCTGGACTTCACTGAGGGCTCTTGCTACCACTCCAGGCTACTCATTGGGACTCAGACCACTAACACTTTACCCTGTGGTAAGAGCAGATTCAGCTCAAACATGCTGAAACTATGCTTTTTTTCCTTGATATTTGAAAAAGTTTACTTGTGAATAGACACCAGCACATGGATATTGGCTTTTACTTGGTGATGATTTTTAAATTTCTATAGTGCTTCTGATTGAGTTAGCAGCGTATTGATTATTCTGGGCAAAACTAAAAATATAAGAAACAATTAAACAAACAAAAACATCGAATTCAATCATCCAAATATATTGGAAAACACAGATGAAATTTTATCTTTTAAAGACTTGAAATTTGCTGGCCAGCAAATAAATATTTCTCAGTCCCTCTTATATCTAGAGTCCCTATGTAATAGGAGACATTATAAAAAGTTTATAACAAGACTGGAGACACCCGGTTCTGTGGAAGTGCAGCGCAACCTCAGCTGTGTGGGGTGCCTGTTCCCAGAAACACTGAGTACCCTAGCAGTGGGGTAGTGAGAAGCTGTGAGTGCACTTCTCATACCCATGGCAACGCCAGTAGATTCCTGATTCCTTCTTCAGAACGTTTGTGAGGAAGGAATGCTGCCCCATTACTGATGGCCTGGGAGCCTACCCTGGGAACCCCTACATCCTCAGCATGAGATGAAGAGTCCTCACCAACTCCCTCTGCTCACCACACCTTTTCTTCCCTGTGGTTTTGCCTAATAATGAGGCCCCAGATAGAGATAAGACCACAGGGTGTTGATGGGGAAGGCAGGAAGGAAGAAGCAGGGAGACAAAGAGGTAATTTTGGAATCTGAAACCAACTAAGAGAGGGTAGGCCCTGGTGAATAAAATAATGACTGTAAGATTGGAAAGAAGAACCGGGTAGTGTGAAAGCAATGAAGAGAAGAGGTGCCAGGAACAAAATCCACAAAAGCTTGTGGAAGCCCAGACTATTTATGTCACAAAATCGCAATGTCGTCTGTGTGCAGCAAGGGCACAATGAGAGCTTTGTGGGTGTGACCTGGCTGTCACACAGAGTGCTTCTGAAACTGCCATGCTTAGCATGCCGATAGCTATGAAGCTGAGTCTGTTTAATGCAAAACAATGGTCAGTCCATATTACTCATTTAACTGAAGGTCTAGCTAAGCAAATATGGTATTTAGATAGTATGAGAAGTTTGCTGTTGTGGTATCTAAGCTGTATTTAGACTTTTCTTTGGCCTCTATCAACTTTTTGAATTGTAAGGAGCATTATCAAACTCTGGCATCCTTCGTAGTCTTTGTAGCATAGGTTTAGTACTAGTCAAAGGCAACTAGTAAACTATTCCAAGCATGTTATTGACTTGGGTGGTTTTCTTTTTATCTGATCTGGTTGTTACCCATTGTACTCAATGAAATTCTAGCATGCTGTCATTAAAAGGGCAGTTAGGAGACAGAAACAGTTTTATTTAATTAAACTCAAAATCTGTTAGGAGCTAAGTTCACACTGGGCATAATTAGGAACCATCAAACTCTTAAGTGGACAATATCACATATATAGCATTTATTTCAGTCCCAATAACATTATAGTATTTCCTAGAAATCTGCCATTTTCTCTCCACAAATATTAGATGAGTTAATTTTGATTCTACACCTTTCAGTTAAATGTATTCAATGTGTTTGGCAGTAACAAAACATGTTCAAAATGAAAGTACTATAAAACTTTATTTTGTTAAATTTCTCTAGTCCAAGCATATCAAACTCAAAGGCTAACACGGGCCAAATAAACAAGGTTTAAGTTTATGAGGGCGGCAAAAAAGCAAAAGCTTCAATTTTCATAGAAACATAGGTTTATTTCGATAGAGACATGCTGAATACAAAGGGCTGGAATAAATGAGTCATCGTTAATGAATATTTGTTGAGGGCTGCAAGTTTGACATGCCTGCTCCGGTCCATTATGAATCTAACTTGCTGTCAGTACTATGTACAGAATTTAAAAAAAAAATACACTGTTTTAAATTTATTCCTGGTGGTTTTTATTCTGTTTCAAAATAATCAAATCAATTGATTTCTTGCATTACTTAATATTTTCCAGGAATTGTTTAATCCAGGAAAGAAGAATATCCAATTCATTGATGGCTTTGTAGATTCCTCTGTTTCCAATCTGCAGATAAAGTAGAGATATAAAAGCAGAAATCTTGTTGATTTAAAAATCACAGTATTCAAAAGCAAGTATTTGGAATATTTACCCCATAAAATGTTCTTTTCATCCTTGTAATGGATTTCATCTCTCTAGCTGATGAAGCACAGGAAATCTAAGAAATCAACAGTAAATACAGATAATATTATTGAAGAGGCACTAATAGTACTTTCATTTATTCAGAAAACACTTATTGAGTACCGTATTTTCCGGCGTATAAGACGACCCCTAATTTTACAGTTAAAACATAGGTTTAGGCCTATATTCGCTGTATAAGACTACCCCCCACTTCCGAGGCAACACCAGTTCTTTTTTTAATAGACCGCCTCTCTAACTCAGCCAATCCAAGCAGGCTTTTTATGCATGCAAATTATACATGTTCTGTACCTGAAGCTACACTGTGTTCTAGTAAAAAGCCTGCTCAGATTGGCCAGAGTCAGAGAGGCGGTCTATTAAAAAAAGAACTGGTGTTGCCTCGGAAGTGGGGGGTAGTCTTATACAGCGAATATAGGCCTAAACCTATGTTTTAACTGTAAAATTGGGGGTCATCTTATACGCCGGGAAATATGGTAGATATTATGTTCTGGGCATGGATATGCACTGGCAATAAATAATACATGGTGTCTGTCCTCACAGAGCATATAGTTTCATGGTGGATGCAGATGATATATAAGAAAAGAAACAAAAATTGAAGTTTACAAATTACAATGAAAGCTGTGTTTGTAATGCATGAGACTCTGTGATAGGGATTTATAAGAATGATATACTTTCAATTGGTCAAGGAGGGTTCTTTTGAAGAATGACATTTGAATTTAAGATCTGAAAAATGAAAAAGAACCAGTTATTTTAGGATCTAGAGAAAGATGAAGGTGGTTGGGGAAGAAGCACAGGAGAGATTATTCAGGCAGAGGGAGAAGTGTGCAAAGGCTCTGAGGCAGGAAACTGAAAGAAAAAAAGCTTGGCTGGGGCAATTGAACAAGAGAGATGTGGACAGCATGAGAGATGTGGGAAAGACAAAGAATTTTACTTTTTGAAAAATTACCGTGACTGTGACTGTTATGTACATTGCACTGTACAATATTCAGGAGTCAATTGCCAAATTAGGAGAAAGCAATAAGAAATCAATATTAATTTCTGAATTAAGAGAAGGAGGAGGCTGATGATTTATAGCCTGGCTGATAAAGACTACCAGTCTCCCTTGAGGAGGTGAATTTTCAAATCCTATCTAAGCACAGGATTGCCTAGGATATAAGTAGGAAGGAATTAACATCATCTTCTGTTCTTTCACAAATTTCTATCGAGTTATTAGAGAAAGGGAAAGAAAAAGGGGAAGATATCTAATGTATCAATTTAGTTTTTGCTCATAAAACCTTAGCTCTAGAATAGACCAGGGAAGGCCACGTGTTCTCAAGTTGTAGAAAAGGAAACCAAGCTCTAGATGTGTAAGTCAATCACTCAAGGTATCACAAGAGTAGTGTAACAGAGTCGGGGACATCAATAAAGATAACATTTAATTAAAACTCATGAAGTAGAAGCAGCTAAATGACAACACCTATTACAGCAAATGAAACACGGCCAATGTCAACCAACAGATCCGATTGGTTAACTAAAATATGAAGGGCCAAAATGCAAAGATGAGAAGTGGAGAGAAGAAGCATAATTCAGACTCCTTTCCTATCAAGAGAAAATAACTGAAATGATTTGACAGTTATATCCTGAATGCTGTTTCGGGGTTTAAAGATGGTATCATGACTCGCACAGACGGGCACTCTGCCTTCCAGTCAGATCTTGCTTAGGGGGAAGGGCTTTGGTGATGAGGCACAGAAGGACTGCAAACATGAATGTTCTGGTAAGGTGCAGTTGATGGGCTTCACAAGCATGGGATTGGATGTTCCTGTGATAAGAGTCCTAAATTAAGAAGAGGATATTTCAGCTCAAACCAATCCTGTAAGGCCAAGGCAAAGCATGACAGATCCAGGACAGTGGTAGCCAATGTCAGAGAAAACAGAAAGAATTCAATCATTCATTAAATATCCCTAAAGTGCCTACTATTTGTTGGGCCAACTGCTAGGTACTAAAGTCATAATGATGAGCAAGATAGTGTTAGTAGGTAAGAGAGTTGTAGGTAGAAAAATTAACAAAGCACAAGTTTACTGGTAGGAGGTAAAAATTCAGCAGTTTCAGGAGCTTTCATCTTTATCCAATTCCCCTTCAAGTGAAGACAGAAATACTGAGAAGATGGGTAGGTAAAAGTAGTCAACATGTACTATGTTAGTATTATATGTCAGGCACTAATCTGAATATTTTGGTTGTATGAATTCATTCGGTCCTCACAACAACCCTATGAGGGAGGTACTATTACTTCCTAATTTTACGGACTGAAGCATGGAAGTTAATATTCTGCCTATGTTCAGCTGAGATCTGAATCCAAATATTCTGACTCCAGAGTCTTTAATTAAAAACACTATATTAAACTGAAAAAAATAAACAGCATAACTTGGAAAAAATATTTCAACTAAGTCAATCTCTTGTTGAAAACTTTCAAAATCGTTTCAAAGGGAAATTAGCTCAAAGATCTCTGCTCCATATAACACAAGGGATAATGTCAGAAATGAATTTAAGAGATGAAGCTGATGGCAGAGAAAGATTTCAACCTGAAAATGGACAACATAATAAATAAAAGAAGAAACCCTGTGTGTAGTGTGTGTAGTGTGTGTGTGTGTGTGTGTGTGTGTGTGTGTGTGTGTGGTGTTTTTTTTTTCTTTGTTGATTTGTTTTTCAGATTGGACCTACAAAAGAAAATTCTAGAGATACCAAGCCTAGTTTCAGCCACGTTAGTAGGTCTGGTGATAATTTAAAGAAGTCTGCCCATTATCTTATAAATGAATAGTTTTATCAGATACAAGTCCTTTTAGCCTACAATTATCTATACTAATAAAAGTATAATATACTAATTAGACAGGGAGACCTTTAGGACATCCTTCCGGACAAAGCCATGGTGGCAGGGCTGAGACAGAGGAGGTTAGGGGTGATCAGGCCAAGAGGAGAGGACAGTTGAGGGTGATAGGCTGGCAGGGGAAGGGGTCAGTTGAGGGTGAGCAGGCCGACTGGGGTGCGGGGGCTAGTTGGTGGCTATCAGGCCAGCAGGGAGTGCAGTTGGAGGCAAGCAGGCCAGTAAGGGGGGCAGTTGAGGGTGAGCAGACCAGCAGTGGAGGCAGTTGGGGGCGATCAGTCGGGCAGGGGGGAAGTTGGGGCAATCAGGCCGCCAGGGGAGGTCAGTTGGGGGCGATCAGGGCAGTGTGTGGGGCAGTTGGAGGTGAGCAGGCCAGTGGGTGAAGCAGTTGGGAGCAAGCAGGTCAGCAGGGGGAGGAGTGTCAGTTGGGGATGAGCAGGCAAGCTGGGGGAGAGGAGGTGAGGAGAAACAGTTGGGGGAGATCTGGCTGGGATGGAGAGCAATTAGTAGTGATCAGGCAGTCAGGCAAGTGAGCGGTTAGGAGCCAGCATTCCCATTTGCAAGAGGATTGTCTGAGGGGTCCCAGATTGGAGAGGGTGCAGGCCAGGCTGAAGGACACCCCTTCCCCAGCACAAATTTCGTGCACCAGGACACTAGTCTAACATAAAAGTAGCCCAAATCTTGCAATTAGGGGGGGGGGGGGGGGAGAGAAAGAAAACTCAATATAAAAGAGAAGTAATACCTGCCTCATTCCAAGGCACTATATCAAAGTTCTTACTTGCAAGGATTAGCACAAAGCACAGAAGATACAAGTTACATGGCATAATATCAAATTCCCATGTGTTAGGATTTGAAGATTTAACACTGAAAGTGGGAGATCAAAGAAGCCAACCAAATCCTGGACATTACAGAAGTTAAATATTACTAAGGCATTCCTGTGACTATATTCTTTGCCCAGAAAACTTTGATCTGCAGTGCACCCCACAGCAGGATGGGAAGCACAAAGAGGCTTTTGACCTCACTCCATCTAAGCCATATGCTACCCTAAGAAGAACAAGAGAGCAAAAAATGAGGAAAACAAGGTTTGGAAATAGATAGATATGTAGATAGATAGATAGATAGATAGATAGATAGATAGATAGATAGATAGATAGACAGATAGATAAACACTTAATAGGCCAGGGTTGTCACTAAAGGTATATTGATTTATGGGATGTTTTTGGTGCCTTAAGCTCTGTTTATTATAAATAATCCCTACAAAATATCTGACCCAGGACTATGCTAAGTGAAATAAGTCATTTAGAGAAAGACAAGTACCATATGATTTCACTCGTATGTGGAATCTAATGGGGGGAAAATTAAACTAACAAACAAAATAGAACAGACTCATAGATAAGAGAAGAGACTGACAGCTGTCAGAGGGGAGTGGGTTGCAGAGTTGGGTGAAAAAGGTGAAGGTATTAAGCAAAACTTAAATAAACTAATAGACTCAGACAACAGTATGGTGATTACCGGAGGGAAGGGGGTTGGGGGTGAGAGGAGGTAGAATAAAAAAGGGAATAAGTGGTGATGAAAGGAGACTTGGCTTGAGATGGTGAACACACAATACATTACACAGATGATGTATTTCAGAATTGCAAACCTGAAACCTGTATAATTGTATTAACTAATGTCACCCCAATAAATTCAATAAAAAGAACAATTAATTTAAAAAAAAGTTCTGACCTAGAAAGTCCTAATTTTCCTGACTATTGTACATATGTCCACAGACACAGTAGGATAGCCAGATTTTATTGTCATGATTTCAATTGCTTTGCTTAAAAGGAGGATGTTATAAACAAATTGTTTCTTTTATCTCATATTTTAATGTCTAGTTGCATTGGCCAGAAACAGAACGTGCAACAAAGGGCAAGCAGGTTTATTGTAAAAATGGTTGAAGGATTTGACAAACTCAATCAAAGTGGATATGATCTAGACTAAAGGTAAATTATTAGTAAGGCTAGAATAACTAGGGACCAGATCAAAGAGAGGTGTGAAATAGTCATAGAATACCAAACACAAAGCCTAACCATTCATTAAGTCAGTACATTTGTATTGCACACTAACTATTTGCTAGGCATACAGTAGCATTCCCGCCCACATGGTGTTGATTTATAAAATGA